TCTAGAGCAGACTAAGCAGTCAGAGGTTGTAAGCTTTTCTCGGCATGTTGCAGACGGACACATTTTACACTGTTTGTCCATCTTTATATCTCTCTGGTTAAAGTAGATCCTTATGATGAAAACATTTTCTGCATTTCCATTAGAAGTTATATGAAAATACCCCGCCCTTTCCACAGACACTCTGCTGGACCTCTCCCTAATTGTAAGTGATCGCAGACAGGAGGCCTCTGATTGGTCAAATCTACATCCGCTCTACACTATGTGTATTTCATGTTTGGTACCCTACTGGCTTGTTTTGTTTGCATGACCGCCATTGTGGAAAACGACTCATGAAGTTGGACCAGCTAGAAGAGCGAGGTGTCCTTTTCCACCTGTTCTCCCCTTCTTCCAGTCTGAGGCGCTGCAGCCTCCACACCACACAGTGAGCCAGCTGTTCAGAACGCTCTCTATGGTGCTTCTGGAGAAGGTGGTGAGAATGGGTAAGGGCGGGTGGGCTCTCCTCATCCTCTGCAGGAAGTTCATGCGCTTCTGATCCCTTTTCACCAATGAGGTGATGTTTACAGTCCAGGTGAGAGTTTCTGTGATGTGCACACCCAGGAAGTTGGTGCTGTTGACCACCTCTACAGCTGAGCTGTTGATGAGCAGTGGAGCGTGGTTAGGCCGGTTCTTCCTGAAGTCAATGATCTCCTATCTGATGGTAGCTGTAGTTAAAAAGTACAATATTTCATGATTAAAGGGTGCATATCTCAGCTACTGCAGTAATTCAACCTTGACCAACAAATTAGCCCCAGTTTTGAGCATATCAGGATGCAAAGAAGAAACATTAGTCAGAGCATTGAGTTTGAAAGGTGCACACAAAAAACACCAAAAAGCATTTGATCATCATAAAATGAGCTATTTCCGCTTTTATTTTTTTCCTTCAGTCTTTGCATAAAATAAGTGCTTCTGGTAAAACGTATGCATCCGTTTCTTGATACCAGAAAACTATTAAAGCTGACATTTGTATTGTTTCCAGGTCATTTTTGCAGTAAGAGTCTTGAGTTTTAATGAATAGTAGCAAAGCCTTTAAGGTTGAGGTCGTACACTTTCCTGTTAGCAGATTTTTTGACACTTAAGCGGTCGGAGCAACTCTTATTCTATTTTGAGATTTAGACAGTGACAGATTCTTTCATAATGCTCCATATGCAGGTAATGTTGCGCTGAGTGTCGCTATTTAGGCCATTTGTTGAACAAGAACACTTGTTTGCTATACAGCCTCCTTCCTAGCTGTCAGATCTTAGTAATCGCTTTACTTCAGAAATAAGTTGCCTGCTCTCACATAAGCAATAAATCTCTGCCGTCAAAATTATTTACATGAGGGTTTGTTATTTAACATGCTGGTAGATTCTGAACCAGCTGTGGTGAGCCTGTTTTACCTTCTTTTTTTCTTTTTTTTTTGGTGGAGATCTTGAACTTAAATGGCCTCCAGCTCCTTGTGGTATGAATAAAAATGAGCTGTAAATGGAGTTTTTAGAGGGAAGGCATTGGTGAAGGTGAAATTGGTTGCCTTGCTTGCAGGCAGAAGGGAAAATGAGCTATACACCCGACAGTAGTTTTTGCTGACTCACCAGAAAGGCAAAGATCAATATGTTGTGACTGAAACTGTAGGATCGGTGTCTTTCTTTACTTGCCTTTATATCAAGTAGAACATTTTCATTTTAAGTGTTTAAATTTGATTAGGTGTCAAAAAGTTCATGTTTAGATTGTGCATTTTTTGTTCTGTAGAATGTTTGTTTGGAAACTGAAAAAAATAGGCTTTTAAACGAGGCCTGCAACGATCACATACATACATGTTACGTTGACATGGTTACACAAAATTTAATTCATTGACACATTATTTAAAGTATGGCTGAAACGATTAATCAGATTAATCAAGATTAATCTTTTGATCAACTAATCATCAGCTAATAAAGTGATCGATGGATCGTAAACTGGAGTGTAGAGACTGTAAAACATGCTTTTAGCTGACAGTGCAACTCAATTATAGCAGTAATTCTACCACAATTGAAAAAACTATATAAACATTTTGCATTTAAGATAAAAACAAATATTTCTGTCAATATGCTCTATCCAGAACTCCTCAAGTGGAAAGGTTTTAGTTTTAGCTGGTTTAATTTCAGAAAATATTTTCCATTAAAGATAAAGATCTTCTTTTGCTATCAGATTAATAATCATTTAATTTTAATTGATTTGCAAAATAATAATTAGTTGCAGCTCTAATGTAAATAAGCTTGAATATTACTGCGCCCAAAATATTTTCATTCGGTGGTTGACCCTTTGTTTCACATGCAGTTCACCATGGTGGCTGCAGAGGGCAGTAGAGCTTGAGCTGCCTGGTGAGCCTTGCCCACCCCTTCCCATGGTTCATTGCGATATATAGCCATAATGGTCGAAAGGAGAGCACGACAAGTTCACTTTTTTGGACACAAAGTTCACTTTGGAAAAAAAATATCTATATATATATAAATAATTCCTTTTTTTTTTGTTATTTTGTTTTCGTAAGAATGTAGCTGTGTAAACCTGAAATACCTGCTTGGTATTTTTTACACTACCCTTGAAAAACCGATCCATGACGAGACCGGTCCGAGCTCGGATCAGTTAACCAGGCCGAGCTCGGTTCTGACGACCGTTTACGCATCACGCTATCTCGGTTCCCCGACTCCTCGCCTCCTAGTGACGATCTGCGGTATTACTGCCAGTATTGAAGGAGGAAATCAAGCAGTTGGTGGCAGTAATGCACCAAAAGTTGTTTGCCAACCGCCATAAAACACAAGAAGAAGATGATTTCGATTGTTACTTATAGTTGTTGTTCTTCTGTTTTGTGTTGGTTGGCAAGCAACTTCCGGAGGGGCATTACCGCCAACTACTGGAATGGAGTGTGAATCGCGATGTGCAGCCAGACGGAGATGGCGCGTTCTGCTCATGCGCTCTTGTTAGCAGAGAACCGAGCCAGGCCCACCTCTGGAACTGGTCTAGTTAGCTTGGTTCGGTTGTGTCTAGCTCGGTTCAGTTCAGTTTGCTTTCCATTTACACACGATAAGTCATCGCAGTTACTGAGCTCGGACCGGTCTCGGCACGGTTTTTCAAGGGTAGTGTAAATGGGGTATGTGTGTTTGTAATTGCATTGTTGTAAAACGACATGCTGACTGGTGATCTAGTCCCAAAATGCCCAGTGCCTTTAACCACCGCGTGAAGGTAGCTACGGAAATAACTCATCAGATTAGATCCAAAGATTGTTTGACGTAATTTTGCTCAATCGTTAGAAATGGATCGAGTTATAGTTCAGATTTATTTATTGAATTTAAGTTTATATTAACTCTTTAATAAAGCATAGTGGCAATAGGAGGCAATTGAGGTACATTCACGGGTATATAGACCAGAACAGGTGTTAGAATATTTGTACAATCAGTGTAAGTTTTAATGGCAGAAAGTGAGGATTAAGATCATAAATAAATCATCATAACCAATCAACCAAGTAAATTATTGCAAAACAAATCCACTATTACAATTGTTACATAAATCCTCAATCTCATCCTTCAATATGCCTAAAAGGACCCCATTTATATATAAAAAAACAATACACAAAAGTAGAAACACCATAGAAATATCGAACAATGATAATGTTCCTTCTTATACAGCTTAATCTGTTATAGTCTGGATTAGGAAGAATGTACTAAAACATTAGGACTGGCCGTCATTAAGTTTGAGTTTTACCCAGCAATAAGGAAATGGTTTGGAAAAATAAATTCTTTTGTGATGTAGATGTGGATAATTGGTAATCATAACTGAGCTAGAAAAATTCTGATTGTATGTTTGTAAAGGAAATGGGTTTTTATGTTAAACAGGAGTGTGTATATAAGGAGATTAAAAATACAAGATAATTGAACTCCGGTCAAAGCTGGATGTAGCTGCCTTTTCGCTGCTTCTAACTTCTACAAATGACAAATACAGGTATTTTTAGGCATGTAAATATATAAAAAAAAAAAAGAAACAAATGTTTAATAATCCCCCTAATAGAATCATTAACAAAAATAAATACCTCTACAGAGAATTAAGATCTTCAAACTCCTTGAAATTGAGATTATTGATTGCTGGCGACTGGTCAGCAGCTCATGCTCTGGCAATTAGAGGAGCAGTGGATTACATGCAACACACAGAGAGCAGAAGGATGACGTTAACCTGATTTATCGATTGATAGTGTGTTCACTGTGCAGTCCAGAACTGGCCAAGCAGCATTTTCAGACAACTTAAAGGGTGTGCAATAAGATCGTAAACAGGGCATCGATTTTCCGCCCGGCTGTATAGATTCTACAGGGAGCTACTAGACGCATCATTAGCATGTGCATTCAATAACTGTCTCTTTATAACAATTCATGCAATAACAGCTTTATGCACTGTGCATATCCGTCTTGTTGTACTGATTGCTGATCGTAGGCCAGTGTTTCAGCAGAGTTCTCTCTGCGTCTGGGCGTGTTGGCTTACCCGAGGGCGAGGTCACCTCCAGCTGCTTTAAATCAGCTCACATAATCACTCCTGGGAGATTTTAACATATACAACACTTTCTTGCTTTTCTAACCCGCTTTCCCTCCACTCTGTGCACACTTTCATTTGATCCCCCTGCCTGGTGGGAGCTGAAATAGATGCAGGTTTTAAATAAGTTTGGTAGATGAAGAGACGGGCTGCGCACCTTGGCCTGTGCCTGTAGGCATTTTTCAACCTGTCTGACTGTCAGCAAAAGAGAGGGGGTCCTTTTGAAAGCCAGGCTGCCCCTGAGAGAGAAACACCTGATGCTCGATGGAGGAACAGAAAACTCTGAGGTCTCATTGAAAACAAGTGATTTTCTCCTACTCTCCCTTAGTCTAATAGACTTTAGTAGTTTTTTGTATTTATGTAGAACATCTGGTTGGATTTTTATATAATGTGACAATAATGACCCCATATTTAAAAAAGTTTTTTTTTGTGTTTATCAAGGAAAAATTGTTTAATAATTGGTACTGAATGGTTGATATATTTGATTGTGTCGGTCATCCCTAATTGTAGATTAATTGCAGGTAAGATGGATGTTATTTAGCTCAGAAAAGTGACATTTTCTTTCTGTAGAGTTAATTCAACTAAGCAAGATTAAGCAAGATCTACTCCAAAATAAGATTATAGTGTTTATTCATACTAAAACCAGATTCTGCAGGCACTGATAATGTTGCAGAGTCTTGGCTGTGAGGGCTTTTTTAAGATGACAATTTCCTAGAATGTCATTTTCTTTTCTTCTTTTTCAAAATTGAACTTTTCTTGCAGAGGTTTCTGACACAATTGGACTAAATTGAAATTGCAAAACTGAAAGGATGAGTAAATGGAAGGACAGACGGATGATGGATGGATTGATCGATGACAGTATTGACTAGAGATGGACTGCTGCGTCTTTATTTTCTTTTTTGCATCTGTGTTCCCTGATTTGTGCATTCAGCAGCCATGTCTTAACATGTAAAGCTAATGCAT